TCAACGGTCGCCTACCTCCTTTCAATGCTAGCAAAGGATCACTTGAGTTCAATCGCTGCCAGCATTCAGGGTTAGTTTCTGCAGCGAAACCGACAGACGAGCCCTCAGTAATTAATTTTTTCTTGCCCAGAGACGACAGCGACACATTTAGACAGAACTCTTCGACCTCAACACTTGTGGAAGACACAGACAGCAAGACAGGAAGCGATCCCATCAGCAGAAACGGCAGTTTTGAGTCTATCGGACATACAAACGCACCAGGCAATCTGAAGACGTTCGGTTATAATAGCTGTAATGTGACTCCCATTAGACGTCTAGCAGAAAAGAATTTCCTTCGTCAAGTAGAGAATTCCCATCAGTCTGGAAGCAAGGGCGATAACTACAATGTGATGAGTATGTCTGCTTTCGAATATGAACATGGTCTTCCAGCGTCCCCTTTAGCAAAGGTAGGTCAATATGTCATTTGTATGTGTCATTATGTAAGTAAGTGACCATTTTCAGGCTAATGGCTTAACGGAAATATTGTGTTAAACAGCTCATAGTCTGTTAAAATGAAACTGTAAAATGTCAGTGCAGTTGTTTAAAAAAAAAAACATGCAGCATTATTTACGTGAAACTATTGTACATGTTGGTTCTTTTATACATCGAACCCTTATCAATAAAAAGTCGTCTTCATGTGGGAGGCAGTTTTTTTGTTTTTGTAGCCCCACCCTAGCTTCTGCAGGGGGCCTTGAATATAACCGGGCCTTAAATATACCGGGCCTAGCCATAGATATTCCTTGGCGGTTGAAAGGGGTTTCTGGTACCTCTCCACGGGCGATCCTCATCCGCATGGTGGCATTTTGTGCCACCGGGTGTTTATCGCTAGTGTGATGTCCTGGTGGGGTACAACCTACCTACCTACCTACACAAACCTTATCCAGTTATTGTTAAATCTGATCAATGCTTACCTAATTATCCATCCCATGGGGGACGCAATTTTCCGTTATTTAAAGCCACACGCCAGTTGTTGCCGGGGGCCCCAATTTAACTCTACCTATGGGTTGGACGGGATTTCTGGGATCTGTCTCCAGGTAATCATCATCCGAATGGTGGCACTTTGTGTCACCTGGTGCTCATCGCTCGGTGTGATGTCCTCGTAGGATAGAACGTAAATCAAATCAATCAGTCTGAGGAAGCTGGATCATTATTTGCACATAGACGAAAGTCGGGATATTATGGAACTAAAAGTTCTAGATTCGATATAGATTTGTAATTTTGCTGAGTATGAGGGCGCTCTGTTTACAGATCACTAGTTACAAACAATGTAAGCCACAGCTAGTACATTTACTAATACAGCGTGGATTCCCACCTAGCAATAATCGTGATGAATGAAGAGAGTTAACATTGTTAGAATGCAATCTCAAAACAGATTGTAACCCATAGCAACAGTATACATGGATCAGATCAATGGCTGATCAGCATCCTGAAACTGGGAAGTGACGAAAAGTAAACACCAGCCGGGTGAGTTAACGAGGCATAAACTGATTCTGATGGTTAAAACATTAGCCGTCTCTGTGCCTGCGCTAATTTCGAAGCTGACATTAAAGCTGTTAAGTGCATTTCTACTATTATATTTGAACACAGCTTGAATATGGCGACTGCACATGTTTCAAAGCCAGCTTGAAAACTTCATATGTGTCATGTGTAAAGACGGCAGTATTACGCCATGTCTCAGGGGTTTGTCTGTATCCTCCAATTGTGGGGGAGGGAGGCTGCGGGGGTTGGGGTTTGGGGGAGCATCTCTGATGTACTTCAAGTTGACTTGCAAGGCTTCTGATCTTTTCCATTGGTTTGCCTAGTGTCTTCTGCATCGTAATGATTCTATAGCCTTATAAGTGCGTGGCATCTTTGCCAGGTTTTTCTAGCGGAATCAAATCACACAGCTTTCTGGAAGGGTGCCATTACAGACGCTGTTATTGTAGGCTTTACACAGGTCCTCAATGGATGTTGGGGGCAGCTTGGCAGTGTCTTCATAGTGAATGGCATCAGGGCCAGGAGCAGACTTCTTTAATGTTTTGATGATGTTCTTAATTTTAGCGGCTGTTATAAGCTGATCATCCTAAATGTCTGTACCGGCACATGTTGCAGCAAGCATGTCCAGTCAGACGGGTGGCAGTGTCCTGCGTGAAGATTCACTAGGGATATCTGACAACGAGGGCTCTTCCTTTGTCTTGATCAGACCTGTTCCATGTTTGGTCTTTATTACGGAATTCTTTCTTTCTTTCTTTCTCAGTCGATGTTCCTTGCCAACCCTTAAAATGGCGCCAGTCATCCATGCAGATTTGTTTATGAATGTCCCTGGCTTTGCTGGTTTACTAAACATCAAACGCTTTAATTTATCTCCGGTTCAGCTAGTGCAGAGCACAACTCTGTAACGTTCTTTCAACAGTTTTCTGCTCATGCTTTTGTCATCCTTCATGGAGAAGCTGCTTTCAGGCATTCTTCAGCCTTGATGTCCTCGGCTTTCAAATTCCCTTTTTACATAAATTACATTAAAAACAAAATATCAGGCAAAAAGCTGTTACGGATGCCAGTAACCATGTTAGACAAAATGAAGCAATATATTCGTTGATGTCTCTTCTGGGACTTTTTAAAGTCTCATGTCGGTACTTCGTTGGTTCTTTGAGATTAAAAAAAAAAAAAATTAGTTCGAAGGTGCATTGCGCTGTTTTACTTGTTAAGACTGTGGCAGAGCCTCGGTGAACAGTTTTTAGCAACTGGCATAGGATAGGTTTTGTGACATCATTATTTTCATTACAGAAGAGATTAATAACGAAACTAAGCCTTGTGAAGGACGAGAATGGTCTTGGCATACACATCGCTGGCGGGAAAGGTTGTAAGAAAGGAGATATTGGCATCTTCATTGCAGCTGTCACTGAGGGAGGAGCTGCTGACAGGTAAGCTTCCATTGAGGCTGTGGTTTCTCTTCAGCTTTCAGCCCGACTGTGTTAAACGTTATTTCAGCAAGTAGGAGCTCAAGGAGAAGACTGGCGGATGATGTTATACATTATTGCAATGGCTTGAACCGCTCATCAAGAGCTGAAGTAACTGGCAAACTTGTTCTCTTCATGAGACTGAACAACAAAATAAAAATGTTGACGATATGATGGTGTTTCAGTGTGTCACACAAGTACCAAACAATATCTCTCTCATATAACATTATCTAATCACGTTGGTCAGCTAAAATGCAGCTGCCTAAAGTATTTTCTGTGTAGTAGTAGTAGTTGAGAAAAAGTATCTTGTTCAACCATCCAGATTATAATTAGGATATACAGTTATTTTCTATTTCAATAATATATATTTGTGTTTACTAATTATGTTTGATTATGCAATAGGAACAGCTTATGTAATAATTGTATTCATAATTTTTTACAATTGTAGGAGTATAGATTGTCACATTCAAGTTATTTTAAATGTACTTACAAACAATTTTAGTAATTCTATTGTGCAGCCTATCTTTGTAGACATCTACCACTATTCTGTCTAAAGGTATCTTAACATCTCCTATGTTAACCTCTGTTCTTAAGATGTACTGTTTAATACTTCCCTGTAGTTCTATAGAACCATTTTCTTCCATTATGTTTTTAACTGTCACATGCTTATTACAAGTATCATATATTCATTAAGGGAAGTCCTTTGGATTCATATTTCTTGCAGTAGAGTAAATAATGTTCGATATCATATACCTGACATACAGAACAAGTGTCTTCTGCTACAGTGACTTTTCTTAGGCTTTGTGTTGATTACAGGCTGCAATGTCTTTCTGTGAGTTCAGTGTTAGTATAGAGTGGGTTTTCCTTGCTACTTTCAAAATTCTCCTGCTTATCAGTCATGATTACCAAAGTCACAGGATATGGACTATAAGATAGCAAAGAAGAAACAGAGTTCATGTTATATCTGAGTATGGGGGGGGGGGGGGGGGGGGGGGAAGGTCTTATTCGAAGGATTTATAGACCCAGCGTTCATCTGCCATTGCTGATTGTGATAATGTGAAGTTGACTAGTTATCCTCTAAATTGGTTGGACATCTTTTCATGTTTTTTTAGACCAAACAACATTTAAACATTTTTTGGTTTCCATTTTAGGCCAGGTTGGCCGGGTATCCCATATTTTTCTTCAAAATCTGCCCATGTGGGTTGGAACCTAAGACCTTTAAGTTGGCAGACAGGCATCTAACCACTGAAGAAAAACCTGTGGGTTGCAATAGTTGATCACACCTAATTCATTTTTTTAATGAGAATAGTTAATATTTAATATTCCGTTGTTGGTTGATTTAATATTCTTGAAAGTGGCAATGCTTGCAGCATATTCTGTAATTTCTTTATTATATCCAGCTTTTGGAGGTTGCTTTAGATCTTTTATCAGGGAGATGTATGTGTGTTGGTAAAAGATAGTTTAGACAGACTGGCTCTTTCTGTAACAGTGGGTGTGGAATGTACACTTGACAAGAAAGATATTGTAAAGATCCTTGGTACTATGTGAATAGTACGGAAAAGCAAATAGGTCATCATGGTCTGCAGAGAAACACAATATTGGTAGTGATGAGATAATCTGGCTATCACTCAACAATTAGAGGGAAGATCAGAAAAAATTTAAGCAGACAATATCTGGCCCCACTAACATTGGGACTCGATTAAAACAATGTCAGTCCAAATGAGAAATAGAACTTATCACTTTAACAACATCACAGTCATGAGCAATAAAAATTAACTTGTAGCAAAAAAGACTTTATCACAAACAGAAAATGATACAGCAGCATTGGCTACTGAAGGATTGCCTAATTCAGTTTTCCATAAGTCCATAAAATTTTTGGAATTTTCCATTAAGACTTCATATCTGCTGGGATTAAATGTTTCTCAGCTTGTTTGCAGCTTGTAAGCATTAGTTTTTTTCGTAATTTAGCATATTTTTCACCATGCCACACAAGCAGTAAAACTTTTTTCATGCATCTTTTTCCAGGGATGGGAGACTCAAAAGAGGAGATGAATTACTGATGATCAACAGTCAGTCTTTATCAGGCATGACACATCAAGAAGCAGTTGATGTTCTCAGGAACGCTCAACCACTTGTCCAGATAATTGTAGCATCTAAGGTATCATCATGATCCAATATTCTGTATATCACTAAAATACAGCGTCTGTGTGAAAGATGTTTGTCTGGAAGGGCTGAATGTAAGACAGGCCTGCATGCCCAGTTTGTAACCCTTTTAAAATAAAGTTTGTTCATTCATTCGTTCATTATATTAACACTGACATCTAAAGGTATAAGAAGAATATTATGTCAGGTGTTCTAAGAGCTGACAGTCCCTTGAGATTCATAAACCATAATGTAGGATGAAAATCAAACAGATCCATCTGCCTCTATACTGCCTCAAAGGATGCCCTTAGACATCTGTGTGAGAAATGGCATATGCAACTATAGTGAATGTGGAAGTCTACTGCAGTAAAAGTCTAACGTGCAAAAGAAGCAAAGTAGGTAATCAAAATCCGAGGTCTACAGGCTGCTTATTGCTGGCTTCCAAAGACATAGCCCTTGATGAACAAGATGTTCTGTATATGGAAGTGAGGTTAAACAGTCATGAGCAGGAGTGACAATTCCTTGGGTGAGCACAGTACCAGAGCACCATGTATTGGCTCTGCATTTATGGAAGCCTCCTTCGATGGTGGGAAATTCTCATGTTCTGCTCCTGCTTTTTTCTTGATGGCTGACCAGCATTGTGGATTCACTGGACCGGCCCGATATGGGGAACTATCTGTGACATGGGAAACAAAGGTGCCCATACAACAATGAGATGCCAGTGTCCTACAGAACTAATTGGAAAGCCTAATTCGGTCAGCAAAGGCCTGCAGAAGTCAGATGTGTTGGCCGAAATGTGTAAATATTGCAGCCATGTTGTAAAGAGGTACAATACAATTTTATCTTCAGATGAACACAAAAGAAGAAGAAGAAGATCATAATCATTCTGTTGTGCCATTATACATCATACAGGGCTCACAGTTTATTCCTCCCTTATACTCTATCCTCTGCAGTTGTTTCAGTATCAAAGAATCAGTCCAGTCCAGCAATTCTGGCCTTTTTCTACATCTGTCTTAGGGTTCCTCAGTTTATCTGTTTCCCATTTAATTACCTGTTTAGTGATTCTATATTCCCATCTCATCAGGATGTACCCAATATATCACTATCTTCTTTGCCTTATAATTGTTGATTCCAGCAGTTATCTAGAAATTTCTCTTTTTTTTCTAAGATATACAACATATTATTACATGTTTCTTCATCTCTGAACTTTTCTTCAACGAACAAACAAACTTTATTTTTAAAGGGCCACAAATTAGGCACGCAGGCCTGACTTATATTCACCCCTTTCAAACTCCCATCTTTCACACAGCAGTTGTATTTTATCAATAAAGCATGTTATGTTAATGTAATAATTTGCATATTATAAATATCAGGTCAAAAACAAAAGCATGGGTGCTAAAATATGTGCGCAAGCTTGCGTGAGAACACACACACCCAAATACACACGCAAACCCATTCACTCACTTGAACACACACACACACACACATAGGTACCCAACACACACAGACATCCACATACATACATACATACATACATACATACATACATACATACATACATACATACATACATACATACATACATACATACATACATACATACATACATACATACATACATACATACCTACCTACCTACCTACCTGCCTGCCTGCCTGCCTGCCTGCCTGCCTGCCTGCCTGCCTGCCTGCCTGCCTGCCTGCCTGCCTACATACATACATACATACATACATACATACATACATACATACATACATACATACATACATACATACATACATACATACATACATACATACATACATACATACATACGTACATACATACGTACATACATACATACATACATACATACATACATACATACATACATACATACATACATACATACCTACATACACACTCACACACACAGTCACCCACACAGACAAACACTCTAAAACACACACACATACAACCCAGACACATACAGATACACACAGCTATATAAACACATACAGACACGTAGCCAAACCCCAACAAACTCACACAGACACACACACACATGCAGCCAGAGGCACACACACAAAACACAACACACATAGCCATATGCAACACTCACAGATACATATGTTTAGACACACACCCACAGAAACACACGCAGCCAGACACACAGATACACATACAAAAACACACACACACAGACACACACCCACAGACACACAAAGACTGACATGCACACAGACACACACACAGAGATGCTTACAGTCACACACACATATGCACATAGAAACACGCATATAGATGCACCAGCACAGTGACAAACACAGACAGCACACCTACAGACACACATGTGGACACCATACAGACTCACACACAGACACACGCCCACATCTTTGGGTAGAATGTTGTAGACTGCATTAACTCTTTCAGCTTCAGATAGTAGTTAGTAGTTAATTAACACTTTCTATCCCAGCCTGTTTATATTTTAGAGTACCAGTGTTTATTTCTTGACAACTTAAATAACATGTGAGGCAGATGTGATAGACTACATTACAATAACACAAAAATAAGACAAAAGAATTACAGAAATGTACAAAGTATATTAAGAAATGAATAAACTTACTGATAGTTTTTGGACTGAAAGAGTTTAAATGACATACTCCATACAAATAAATAAGCAGTATTGCCTTTAAAAATAAAATAAGTCAGGAAACTTACTTTTACTGATCTTCATTAGATATGCCATATATTAACGGAGCAGAGACTTGGCTGTCAGATAAAATGTAGGCATGGTATAGTCATCTCATAGTGCATCAAGGCACCACTGCAATACTCGGGCACCTCCTTCCTAAGAAAAGATAAATATCTACCTTGGAAATTTTGTTAGTTTAATATTCATTTGTTTTGCGGTTATCTAAACAAAGTCTAATGGTAATAACAATAACCTACTTGGTGTGAAACAAATATGTGTAAGTCAAAAAGCTGATATAATCCCATCTGTAGTCTCCCAGTGTGAGTTCTGAGGCCTGTGGGGCGTAGGGGGGAAGGGGTAGACCCACTGACCCCTAACAAGCATGACATAAGAGACAACCAATTATGGGATGTTTCCTTTGAAGTTGGAGGAATCAACAGTCTGTATACAAAAAAAAAGCTAGATCTGTAACACAAATGTACATGCAAAACTTGAGCTCTCAAACAAGACCAAAGTTTAGAAATGAATGAACATTGAGAACTGGAGTTTACAGTTGATGAATTCTAATAAGAAGAAGAAGATTGCTGTAGAGATTAGGAAAGGGATACCATTGAAAAACGCTAGCCCAGCTGTATGACCTGGTAGTGAAGTCCAACATGTACCTTTATTCCCTCTTTTAGATCACAATAGAAGATTTCTGATTGGAACAGTGAGTAGTTTTTATTAAGGATGACTGTTGCATAGTTAAAGGACTGAGCTCTTATGTGGATTTTCAACGTGTGTCCATGTTGACTGTGATAAAATAACATCTCGAAATATTGACTATTTGTGTTTTATATCAGTGGGGATTTTGGGAGCATAATGGCTAGATGTTCAAAAGCAAGTCTGAAGATCTTAGGCTCAAATCCACCTCAGCTAACCTTAGCTCCCATGTCAGCCCAGCTTCAGATGGGTACTAGGTTATGTATTGGGTACTAAAGGCAGGTGGCAGGATGACCACTACATCACATCACCCACTGTGCACCGACTGGTTTGTAAAAATATGTGTCTAGTATCATACACCAGAAGTACCATAAAAAAGGTCCTCTATAATTTCTACTAATTTTGTGTCTGTGTAATACAGTTTGTAAGAGTACTATTTATTTTAGTACTTCATCCCTACATGTAAATAAATTTGGTGTGCACATTGTAAAAAGACACACATTTGTAACAAGGATGAATCTTATTTCAGATTCGAAAGTCATCATCTGTGGCATCTCCTTCTCACAAATTTGTGGAGATCTCTCAAGCATTATTGCCTCAGCATTTTAAGACACCCCAGATAAACAGTCAAGAAAGTCCTAAAGCACAGCAACAAACAGAAGCAAATAAAAGTCCATCTGTAGATTCACCAGCTGTTGAGAGTCTGCAAACAGAGGCTGTTGAAGACACCCAAAGAGTGCCTGACTCAGGCCAGCAGACTTCAACTGATGCTCACAGTGGAGAAATGAGCTCTAGTCTGAGACTTCCTGAAGTTGTTGCACAGACACCATGTGGAACTATTATGAAGTGGGAAGAACTGTTTGAAGTAAGCATCTGTTACTATTAAAAAAAACAAAAAACTTAATCCCTGCCTAAACTGGATACCAGGAAAAGATCTTGTTAGTATGAACCTCCAGTCTTCACCGCCCTAAAAAATGGTAAAACAGTCTGAGGAATGGCTGGCTGAGTGGTTACAAGGTCAGGCTGTCATTTGGGAGACCCGGTTTCAACCCCCGTAAGGTGATAGAGTTTTTCTAGCATGGGCAGAATTAAACTTCCTAATCTGCACAGTCCGTGTGACAACACCAGCCATACAGAAAGGTTATGAACCACTACCATCAGTATACAAAAAGATTCCCTTGTGTGCTGTTAAAGGCATTTTCATAGTTCTCAAATCCAGTATAAAGTGACTAATTACTCATAATGTGGCTATCTTGTGAATGCAGGATCTATTTGATTGATGCCCGCCTATTCATCCCTTGCTTGTTTACAGCAGTAGTTCAACAAAGACCAGCCTGAGAAGACTTTAAACTGAATCCAGCTGATGGGGTTGTAATTCCCTGTCCACAGTGCAAAAAAAAAAATCTTTCTATGCCAAGATTTGCCTTATCTGCCATTAACCCATGCATAAATCCCACTACAACTAGTGGATGAAAGGGATGGATATCATTACTAGTGATGGAAAAATAACAACACACAATTATTTTAGTCCTATCTCTTAGTATCTTCAGAACGATCCTGCTACATTTTTTCAAAGCATTTATTACCATTATATTACATTGTATTAATACAGTTTGTCATGTCTTGTCACATTTCAGTTGCCTAAAATCCAAGAACAATAAAAGGAATGGCAAAAAATATTTTCAACATACTGCAAAAATAATTATTGACAGCTAGAGAGATAAACAACACACTGAAAATGAGAATTATCAAATGTTATGTATACTCAACCCTGCTATGTGGTGGAGCAATTTTTACAATTAAGAAGCAACTAGAGAATCAAAATGAGTCCCTGGAAATATGGATATACAAAAGAAAACATCATGTTTCATGGAAACAGAAACAGCGACTGCAGAGTCTCTGTGGAAATGAAAAGAGAATTGTTGAAAGAAATATAACAAAAAAACTATTGAGATATTCTGGCCACATAGAAATACAGAACACTCTTTTAAAATCCATAGTATAGGAAAATCTTGAAGGCAAGATAGCAAGAGGTAAAAAACAATACAAGTAGGAAAAATATCAAGAGATTGATGAACAGCAGTCTGATAGAGGGTGCAAGAGCAAGACAAGAGTAAGAGTGTGTTGGAAACCCATCACAACCAACCTTCACTGTAGAGATGGCATTCAATTGATTGACGATCCTACCAGATTTTAGAAAAAGCAGAAGAGTTTATTCTTTACTCATGAACTTTTTCAATTGTTTTACTGACTAATTAATATTTATTGTTAAACAGAAATTTCAGCCTGTGGAAGATGGTACAGCGCCAAAAGTACTGAACCTACCTCGGCCATTTCGGCACAGTCCACCAGCCAGTATCACAGTTTTTAAGGGTGCCAGAGGAAAAGGGCTGGGTTTTAGTGTAGTTGGCGGTTCTGATTCTCCCAAAGGGAACCTGGGAATTTTCGTCAGACGCATTTTCAGTCATGGAGTCATTGCTGAAGATGGACGCTTGAAAGAAGGTAATTTGAATTAACTCTTTCAGTATCAATGAGGTATTGCTTTTACATTTTCTATTGTAAGAAACTGAAATTCAAAGTAATCATCAGTGTTTTTTTCTGAGGTGTTAAAATTATTGTGCCATGGAACAGTAGTTAATTATGTCAGTGGTAACCGCTTGAAATAAAACAAAAAGTTAAAGTAAATGATCTTTTTTAATGCAATTTGGGCAATTTGCGTTAGATCTATGTTTTTGTAAACCGGTCAGCACTCAGTGGGTGATGTGATCAAAATCATGCTGACCACCATTACTTTCATAGAACTTATCTGGTGCCAGTTTTCGGCTGGATTCACTGACAGCCAAGATAATTTCATTATTGAAACATTGTTAGCATGTAATATAATACTGCGTTGATGCAGTGTTACATAAAAATGTGTAGTAATGCTATACCAACTAAACTATAGTAACAGTACCAGACTGTGTTAGTCTGCAATTTTAGCATACCTTTTTGATACTTTATAGTTTGACAGAAGAGGCAGTTCCATAACAAATACAGATATATTCATGTTTAACTTACACTAGGACTTGCCTCAAATAAAATGAAAATAACTGTTATAAAGTAGAACATTTCACCTGAGTGCGCTGGTTTTATTTTTTTTTGTCCAGGTGATGAAATCCTGGAATTGAATGGCCAGCCATTGCCAGGTTTGACACATCAAGCAGCTTTGCAATTATTCAGATCTCTTAAACGAGGACCTGTCAAACTTACATTTAGATCAAGAGCTACATCGCCTAAAGCAAGGTACATTATAAGTGTTTTAATAATTGTATATTAAATTGTGCGGTGTATTTTTTTATTCTGTCTAACCATTTATTTATTGTAGAATCATGTTTAGTGCTAGAAATTGATGAAATTTAAAAAGAAATTAGGAAATGTGAAACAAAAGCTAAATCAAAACAGAAATGTCTTTGGCTAGTAAGTTCTACAGAATACAGTTTAGTGCTAGAAAAACATTATTATGCAAAAAATCATGCAGTCTTATCCGATTCTCATATATATATACATATATGTGTGTGTGCTTGTGTGTTTATAAAATGTTGTGAAAAATATGCATCTGATTATCTTATTGTGTCTTTTGAAAAAGAAATTTTAAGCTGCATTAAAAGCTGCTAAATATTACATACAGCTTTGCTAAATGTAAATAAGTCGACCATTTAGTGTTCATGTTTTTCATCTTTAAACTGCTTTCAGTTTGATGACTTAATCTATAAACTCAATTATTTCAGTACAAGAAATATGCCCAATGCTTCAACTGGAGAATCACCAGATGGAAGCCCAGTGTCGACTCCAAACCACTCCCCCTACTCATCGCCTCGAAACAGCCTAACAGATGTTTCCTTCTCTGTGATAGATGGTCAGATTGTACAAAAAGCTAATGAATCTGTGCTTATTAAACAAGGACATAAGCAAGTCAATGGTGACGTCTGCAGGAACATGACTGTTAGTGCAGCATTTGCCTCACTGAAAAACAAAGATGTATCAGACAGCACAAAGGCTTTCATCAGTACCGGAAACAAGGATCTGCAGACTGGCAGTACCAGTAATCCTGAACCAGAATCAGCACATAAAGCTGGGGATAAAGGGCACATCTTAGCTGTTGCTCCACTCTTAATTCATAACACAGATACCTTGTGCCAACAGACAGAGATCCTGAGTCAGGTAAGCCCAGGACTGCCTGAAAGCCTGGCTCTTATATCCAAACAGGTCATAAAAGTTGCAGACAGTGGAAACAGAAATAGAAAAATTGGATTTTGTTACCCCAGAGGTAACAAGAGCGTTAAGATAAATGAAAATGGCCAGTTCAGTCAACAGACAGAATTATCTGACAATGTAAAGGAAACCTCTGATTTGTTTCCAGTATTATTACAACACAGTAATTTTGTTAGTTCTCCCAAGTCTAGTTCAGTTGTTAAAATACAAGTAAAACCTGTTGAGACACATCTGGCACTTAGTTCACCTGTTATGAATGCACATAATTTCAAATCAATGAACACAGCCATTGTATATTCAAGTAATGACTGCAGCAAAATTACTGGTCAGCAGATCCATATGACATCTCATGCTAAACGGATATTTTCTGAAAAACATAATGACAGAAGCAAACTGTATGTAAGTGATATCTCTCAGGACAGTGTTGTGAAACTTGCGGAGACCAGAATCCATCCTGATTACCCACAAGCAGACAACTCTGCTGTCAGATCCGAAGCACATGACAGTTCTCAGACTGTCACTCAGAACTCTGTTGACAGGGTTGATCAGCAGTTGTATGAAAACAGAAAACAGATTGATGTACCACCTTCAGTGGCAGTTCAAGGAAACAGTAGCCACGCAAGAGTAGCACCAACAAAAAATGTTAGTGAAAACAATACAGATGCTGTGAGTTCACATTCAAAGACTCTTCCAAGGCCTTACCAACAAACTTCTGTGGGACGATGCTCTAAGGCATCAAACAGAAGCAATGTTCTTCAGCAGATTGTGCCACCATTTGAAAATACTGATACTGGCAATTCTCGAAAGATTCAAAACATGCCCACTGCCAGAAAATATTCCGATGGATCCTTGATCCCAGGCTGCTATTCCTCTCTTCCCAGAGGTCACCATAATCATCATGTTTATCGCCAACCACTTGACCACCGCCATACAGTCAGTAATCACAGCATTGGTCAGTATGACAATCTGATGCACCAACAGATAGCTTCCAATGTTAAAGACAGTCTTTCTCAAACCTTTCAAGGCCCATTGTCCCCCCGGTTGTTGAGAACAGATTCAACATTTCAAGACTTAATGAAATCAAGAGGTGCACCACAAGTTTCTTTACTACCTTCTGTTGATACAGCCCTAGATTTCCATTATAAAAAGCAAAATATAGCAAGACTGCCGTCTGCACCAGATTCTCTTACATCTGTGAAGTTTTCAAAGTTACATTACCCTCAACAGTCTTTCAACCAAAGCACAGACATGACTGTATCTTCTGTTGGTTCATCTTTTAAGTCATTTACCCAGGCATCATTTTATAGACACCATTCTAATGAAGCAACTGCATCCTTTCAGTACAACACTGCTGCGAGAGAACACATTAATTCTGTCAATGGCAGCCCTCAGCCTTTTACAAGTGTATTCAACATGTCAGAGCCTCATAGCCTAGGGATGGACTTGAGTATGATGTCAGCAAGCATGCTTAACCCACTCAAGTTGCCACAGATGAAGTCTCACAAAGACATTGGTGGAAGTTTTTATGGTTACAAAAATAACCACATAAACACCAGTTCAACAGAAGAAGGCATAACATGGACATCAGATTCAGAAAACAGCAAGTCATACAAGTTTGAAGTCTTACTTAAAAAAGGTAGGCACTGTTTTCTTTAACTTCTTCTTCTTTTTTCTTTGCGTTCACCAACTGTAAACTCTGGTGGAAAGTTCTGGTTGTTTATCCACTTCTGGACTGCAGTCCTGTTTCAGAACCTAAGGGTTGCATGAGCATCTGTTTTACAGAGCTGACTTGTTTGTATGCAGACTGCCAGTTTCCTGCCTCTCAGGCAGATGCACTCCGACTTCAAAGGAAGCTCCCAATTAGTCGACTCTTAAAACATGCTTTTGGGTAGGCAGTGGGTCTATTCTTGTTTTTCCTATAATCGGGCCCCGGAACCCACACAGAGATTTTCTTTCACTAAAACTGGTCTTAATTGAATCATAAAGATGAAGGCACTGCTTTCTTTAACTGAAACTAGTCTTAACTGAAACATAAAGATGTTTGACTTAAAACAAGTTGCCACTGAATATACAAGTTTAATTTCTCATTATACATGTTAGAAAATTCTTATATGTGTGCTTGTGTATGTATGTGTGTCTAAGCAGAACGAAGCAGTCTTAGGAAAAGTAATTATGAATTGTCAGCTACTGGGACTCCTCAACCCAGCATATGTATGCTCATTGTCTTGCATTCTAGCATGATCCAGAAAGTATATTAACGAAAAACCCTCATCAAAGAATCTTTGCTCTTGCTATGTCTGTCTTATTTTGAACCTTATGCAATAAAGACTGAGAATCAGACACTATGACTGCTTTGTTGAGTTGAGTACCTCAAAGCATTTCAAAGCCACAGTGATTAATATGATTGCAGATAGTGAAGTAAGCAACTTATTTCTGGTTTGTTTTTTCTAGTATCTTTCTTTGTATTAGGTATGCTTTTTGATATTGTTTTGTCTAGTGTCTTTCTTTGTATTGTATAAGCTTTTTGATTTAACATTATTTCCTTACAAAAATTTGTTTTTATGACTTCCTTCCGTACCAGGTGCCTTACTGTGCATTCATTGATGGTGTAGACATTGTACATAGGTCTTGACTTCATTTATGTTTTTCTTTCATTACATTAACCAGTTTTGCCCTAGTTGTAACTTCAGCTAAAGTTATCACATAACTAAATTATCTGACTGATGATGACCACACACACACACACACACACGCACACATACACACACGCACACATACACACATGCAAAATGGTGTACTCTAATGTATGCAGAGACTATGGGTTAAAATGCTGTAGTAATAACCTGGACTTAAATATGACATTTACAAAGATTCAGGTTTATTTTTTTAATAATTGCAGAAGTAGGAGTGTCGTTTGGTATCAACATTGTGAGAAAAACAGTAACTGGTACGAGCTGCATTTTCATTCAGGACGTTGTGCCAGGATCAAGTGTAGAAAAGGACAGTCGTCTGAGGTTTGTTTTTTGGTATATCTTCTTTTTCCTATAGTTCATGTAGTCTGGCATTCATAATAATGTTTGTCCACAGCTTTCTGTCTCCTAAACTATCAAGTATCACCGATACAGATGTTGTTTCATGCCCTGAAGCCAGACTGTCTAGCATTCTTTCTATTGGTCTTCTTCTGTCTCTCTCCCCTTTCAACTTTCATGTTGTCACAAGTGATTCCATTTACCTCTTATCACAGAATGTGCTAAATGTGCGATAGATAGATGATTGCCAGCACAATGTGCAACGAACTCAATCCAATAGCCATCTGGTGTGATGATTCCAATGCCCATGTCAGTCCTTCAAAGACATCAGTGACATGGTTCTCTTTACAATCACATTGTAAAGACTGGACTTACCAGAAGTGAAAATGGGTGATAGTGTGTTGATCAGAACCAACATGAGGACATATCTCATGGTGAGGTTTGATCATTGCTTGTCATTCAAAGAACACGTTGCCCGTGTGATAACAAAAGCACGCAAAGATCTATCTGCACTGAGGGTTATAGCTGCTTCCAACATCGAGCAAAGGCTACTAATACTTCTATTCTATGGGTTGGTCCTTTCCCCAATTGAATATGCTCCGGCCATTCCCACTGTCAGTGCTACCCAGATTTAACGACTTGAAAAAGTGCAAAATGAAGCCTTATGCATTATTTTGGGATGTTCAAGAGAAACTTCTTATGTAACAGTGAAATATCTACTTGACTCCATCAGAAACTAAACCCGCAACCTTTCACTCCACAGGCGAGCGTCTAGTCCCAGTTGTGGAGATAGAAAAGAATAATTGTGAATATAGACAAAAAAATGCTGTGGCTCTTTTATTTTTTATTTTTATTTATTTTATAGGAAAGGTGACCTCCTTATGTCTATAAATGGGGTGAGCATGAAAGATCTGACCCTCTTAGATGCACACCAGATGTTGAGAAGTCTACCTCCAGGGCCAGTTCAAATTGTTGCCTCCAGGGATGTGGTAAGCAAATGTCTAAAACTCAGAACTATTAGACAGTATAAAATAGTCTTACAGCAGAAATGGTAATTGTGGGGTTATGTGTTGAGTCTTCATATATTCTAAAATATGGAATAATATAGTGTAATATATTATGGCCTTACATTTTGCACATCTTGAGAATAAGTGAGCAGAGGATTAAAAAAAAAACTGGCATTGCAATTTGAAACAAATGGGCCCGGGAGCGGGGTGGGAGGGGGGGGGGGGGTGGGTGGCGGACTGGATTTCCTCCATGTTATCGTAAAGATAATGCAGGATAGAAGAAAGAGGATAAAATAAACTGTGAGCAGTGTGCAATCTAAAAAGGGACAAAAGGGCTCTCCTCTGAACTTCCACCCTATATTATGGCGGCCAAACAAATAGCCTCAGCCGTGCGTAAAATGTGGACTTTCTGCCAAGGAACAAATTGCAGCAAAACTAGGATTACTTGACAATTTCAAGAGAGGCAACACTGCAGGCGATAGTACCAGACGATAATAGTGACCGTTGACAATTTCAAGCATTTCTGCAGACGATACTATCAGACGATAATAGCGACCATTTATAATTTGGAGACATGCAACATTACAGACGATAATAGCCACATGGTGGGGAGACCATGCGCTCCGATGCAGATTAGCGTCGTTGTTGTCCTCACACTTTTCGGCATGTGCAAAACATCATTGTTGTTGTTATCGATCCAGCGGCGCATGAGCTTTCGCCCTTTGGCCCAATGCCATGTAGTGGAATTTGCATGTTTTCACAAGCTGTTCTTTTCCTCCGTACAAGGTGTTCCACTTGTCTGGTCTCGGAGGGAGTAGCGTTCTTCTTGTCTCACTGAGTTTTGGGCACTCAAAGAGATGGTGTTCAACAGTTTCGTAGGGGTAGTTACATAGCTGGCACTCTGGGGAGTGTTGTGGCTGTATTCTGTTTAGGTGTCCATTGAGTGGAGTATGTTGCGTTCTAAGTCTGAAGATGGTGGCCTGGTCCCTTCTTGTTAGATGGTTAATGCTGTCATTAGGATCAGGGCCAGACATATGTCTATAAACCTCTCTTCCAGTGTCTCCCATGGCCCATCTGTTCAACCGTCTCTTTGTTTATAGCTCTTATCAGTGTTTTTGCTGTCTGGAGGGTTGTCGCTGTAGGTGGTTGTTCTTGTGTTGCTCCTTTCTTTGCCAATCTGTCAGCTCTGTCATTACCTGGTGTGCCGGAGTGACCTGGAATCCACTGCATCACTATTCTGATGTTGTATGAGGTAATAAGCTGATCGGCATCCAGGATTATCTTGGCTATGTCAGTTCTGCAGCGTTCATTGCCTCCAGAGCTTGAAGGGCAGACATTGAATCTGTGAAGATGACAATATTTTGGACCTTTGAGGGGGTAAACATCCATTACAGTCTTTAGGTGGTATACTGCTGTTTCCAGTGCAATTATTTCAGCTTCATAGTTTTGAACAGAATTCCCCGCATGCATCAAAAATCTCTTCAACAGATCCATCGGGATAACCTATGTAGATTCCGTAACCTGCTTTAATGGTAGCTTTAAATGCTGATCCATCAGTATAGACATGTATCCATTCTTGGGGGTAAGAATCAACGGTCTTTAGTGATGAGTTCATAAGAGCGATTGGGTCGGACTGTTTGGTTTCCTCGCCTACCAATTTAGTTTGGACTTCTGGAGCTTTAAAGCGAGCATGTGGGTGGTAGGTTTTTTGCAACATTCTGAATTCCTTGACGTCTTTCTGGGAGGTGGTATCTGTCCTGAATTTCATTAACACAGTGTAAAACCGATTTGTGCTTTATTCTTTGTTTGGGTTCCCAGTTTTCTACAAGATGTCTATTAGGATGGTTACGATTTTTCCTAACGCATCTTTCGTAAATTTCTAAAGTGGCTTTTTCTCTCCGCAACCCGAGGGGTTCCACATTTGTATGGATTTCACATGCAGCAGTTGGTGTAGACTGCATAGCTCCGCAGATTAATCGGAGGGCATTATTTTGTACTCTGTCAAGAGTCTCTAGGTTAGTTTTGGAACAAGTTGTAAGCAGTGAGTTGTTGTACTCTATCACAGAGCGAACATATCCTAGGTATAAGCCCCTCAGAGTTTCCTTGTCTGATCCCCATGATGTACCTGCAAGTCTCTTTAATAACTGTAACCGCCTCAATGCCTTATTCCTGATGTTTTCAATATGGTTCTTGAGGCTGAGCTGCGGGTCAAGTGTGACTCCAAGGTATGTGGGATGCTCTTCTTTCATCACTTGGTGTTTGTCTAACCTCAGGTTAATATTCTTCCTTGCTACTTGGTGGCTTTTGGTAAAGATTGTGTAGACCGTCTTTGCACAGTTAATCTTGAGTTTCCATCTTTGGCAGTAATCATGCAGTCTTCTAAGGTCTCCATTCAGTCTTTGGGCTCCACTTTCCACATTTTCATGACTCTGCCATATTGCTAGGTCATCAGCGTACAAGGCTTTTTCGGCCTTGATTTGTTCTGGCAGGTCATTGATAAAGATTAGGAATAGTGTACAGCTCAATGATGAGCCTTGTGGCAAGCCCTCCTCCAAGACTTCTTTAGAAGAGATTGCGTTGTGCATCTTAGTCTGGATTGTTCTATCTATCAGGAAGTATTTCACCCAGTTATACAATCTGCCATGTATTCCTATGCTCATCATCTTCATCAGGAGACCTTTTCTCCATACTCTGTCATAGGCCTGCTGGAGATCGACAAAGACTGCCACTGTGTGTTTCTTATTCTGGAAGCCATCATGTATTCTTTGTGTCAGTCTGAACAGCTGGTCTTCTGTGCAGCTGTTGGTTCTGAAGCCTGCCTGTTCATGGCATAGAACACCAGAAATCTCAAGGAACCAATATAAGCGCCTGTTTATCATTCTTTCTGCAACTTTGCCCAAGCATGATGTTAAGGATATCGGGCGGTAGCTTTTGGGGTCATCTGGAGGCTTTTGGTTTTAAGGATGGGGACGATATATGCATTCCTCCATGCCCTTGGAAGTTTGCTTGACCTCCAAGTTTTATTAATAAGCCTGAGAACTACTTCTCTCCCAGACCGGCCAAGATGTAGCAGCATTTCGTTGTGGATCTTATCTGGGCCTGGAGATTTTCTAGGTTTTAATTTTTTCAGGGCTTGCTCTAGTTCATCCATGCTAAATTCATTTTCAAAAAGGGAGTCGCTGGCTGTTGGAGCTCTCTCTTGTTTCTTCAACTGAGAGAGCTGTGTTCTATTGAGTTCTGACAGCTTACCTGCTCTGTTAACTGAGGCAAAATAATGATTGAAATGTTCTGCTTTCTTCTTGTCTTCAGTGATTGTCTTACTCCCATCTGTCACTGGTTTTGGGTTCACCCTTCTACTTTCTCCGGAGAGGTTTTTAACTAAAGTCCATGCTTTATTTCCATTCTGTCTAAGGTCTAAGTTGGAGCAAGTTTCTGTCCATTTATCTCTTTTAGCCTTATTAACTACAAGCTTTACTCTGGCACATGCTTTATTGTATTGGATCTTTGCTTCTGTTGAACGTGCAGTTTCGAGAAATATTCTTGCTTTATTCCTTTCGGATATAGTATTTTGAATTTCTTGATTCCAAAAAGGTTTATATGCCTTCCGGCTGCCCCTTGGGATGGCTTTCGACGCTGCATTCAGGACTGCTTGTGTTATGTCTTCACAAAAAGTTTCCACACAGCTGTTGTCAATTCTTCCCAGGAGGCAGTCAGATGTTTCCTGAAATAGTTTCCAGTTTGCTTTTCGGAAATTCCAACGGGTTCTCTGCTTGAAGCGTAATTTAGGGGTGGTGCTTACAGTTGTGAGTATAGGTTTGTGGTCACTTCCTATGTCGTCCAGGACTTGGGGATAGCTTGCGTCTGCTAAGTCGGATGAGCAGATGGTCAGGTCAGGTCTGCTGAGAGATAGGTGGGCCCTGTGTAACAGTGTAGGTGTAGACTCTGTGTCCTGCAGCACTAATAGGTTAGTTGTTTCACAAGTATCTTCGATGTACTTCCCTGTGCTATTGTAGTCAGGGTAACCCCAACGTGGCGAGTGTCCGTTGAAGTCACCAACAAGAAGGGTTTTATGGTACTGTGTCTTGTATAGTTCTGGTATGTTGCATGTTGTCTGAGGTGGGCTGTACACGTTTTATATCGTATATTTGCTTCCATTGTGCCAGATAGTTATTTTTTGCACATCTGTAGGGTGAGATGTCGACAGCATTGTTACATCTCCTTGTATGTCATTTCTGATATAGGTCACTATGCCCCGGCAGTCATTGCACTTACAGGCATAACTAGTATATCCAGTGAGATGCAGATCAGAGTCTTTATGCAGGGTTTCTTGTAGGGCAGCCACGTGTACCCTGTGGTTGTTTAGCAGTTTGGCAAGTTCAAGTTTCTTATTTCTTATTCCACAGATGTTCAGCTGCAGAATATTGAGCATCTGTGTATTTTTTGCTGTGCTGTCTGAGTTCTTTTTGCTCTCCCTCCCACTCTTCCTCCTCCTGGGGTGTCTGTTTTCCCTATTTATTTGCAAAACATCATTAAACTCACTGCCAATAGTATCCCCGCACCGTTACGCGGATAGGGATCAAAACTCAATGCCTGGGACTCACGAGCAAATAAATTAGAGGAAGTTGCAGGAGATGTGGTAGCTGCTGCTCGTGAGTCCCAGCCATCTAGTTTAACCCCCCCCCCCTCCCTCCCATCTGCGCCTTGGGCAGCAGCGCTGGGGATACTATCAGCGGTGTGGCATAGTCGCAGGACATTCTTGCATGCTTTCAAATATATTGATTTCAAGGGGTTAGTCCCATATTTGTAATCATTACTCAGTAAGTTAGGTAGTCAGTATGAAGCCAACCACCATTACATGCCAGGGCCTTCCTGCCAGCCAGTTTAGATTTAATCGATCTGGGAGTCTAGGCCAAATTGTAAACCTAAAATCCCCCTCCTTCCCCCACCTCCCACTTTCCACTCATGTCCTCACACCCCCCCCCCCCCCACGGAAATACTCAGATACATTACCACCAGGCAGGTAGGTAAGGGTGCTAGCTGCTGCACTACAGCACCTTCCTTAGAGCTGTAGCTGTGAGGGAAATAAATCCTTCCTGTGAAGGGAACTGAACCTGTATCACTATCTCAGTATGCACACACTAACAGAATGTCCTGTTGCTCATGTAGACAGTTACAAGATTGAAACTAGTATATTTTATTCAGAATATTCGTTTACTTCACATTCCTAAAAAAAAAAATTCAAAGCTAGCAAACAGGATACAGTATTATGAAACAGAAGAAGAGGTAGATAAAGAGCAAGATTAATATACCTTGCAGGCACAGAGCTATCAATGAAGACATACATAGAAGTAATGAGAGGGATACAAACCAGGCAGTCAAGGAATGGAATCATCAAGAAGCTCATGTCTGGCCCAGTGCCTGAAATAACTTCATTATAGGAAGATCATACTTGCTATAGAAAAAAACCTAACACAAATGATCGCTATGTGAATAAATTGATGTTGATCATGTGTAGTAGATTCAGTTAGATAGGACCCCCAAGCTACAGATTGAGGTCATCTCTCTTTGAACACACATGGCTCATGTTTTTGTTTCAAGTGTCAAAATGGAAGCTGGCATTAGGAGTTTCTTTTTCATATTTACTAGCAACGTATTGTCCCTTATAGTTGCAGTTTTCACTATCAGGTGAAATAATTTCTGTATTTTTTAAATGATTTGCTTTTTATTTTCAGTTCTCATGATAACAATAGTCAAGTCAAGCTGCAATGTGAGAACTGGGTTCACCTAGAAAGTGCTTTGATACATCTGTGCAGTGTAATTTCAGTTTTTCTCACTCTTTCTCCATTCCTCTCTCTTTTCCCACTACCCCTCTCTCTGTCTCCCCCCTCTCTCTACCTCTCTTTATTGTTAAAATACAACTGCTGTGTGAAAGATGGGTGTTTGGAAGGGCCGAATGAAAGACAGGCCTGCATGCCTAATTTGTGACCCTTTGAAAATAAATTGTGTTTGTTTGTTCGTTTCCCCTCCCTTTCTATACATGCAAAAACAGGACATATGTGACCCTAGTTATTCGGCTAAACTGTATTGTTGGTTGAAAATCACAAAATAAAACTCTTTGAAGGGCAAATGCAGAAGAATTTGAAGAAGAAAGGCAATTAAAATATATTGACTTATTGTTGCATTTATTTGTGACTGCAAGCAGTGATGTCAATATCTGTTTATGTGACAAATGTATAAATACTGGGACCATAACGTATACAAATGTTATCCAAATTTATTTTTGTTATGAAAGTTTAAACTGTGCACATAAGTAACTGCATATTAGCTACCACATTAAGTTCCTTTTGCTCAAGTTTCTTCATACATCCAGAAGTTATTCAGCGAGAACCCTACAGAAGTTTATATGTAATACCAAGACCTGACAGAAACACTTGTCGAAAGCCGACTCATGCTGGTCTGTGCAACTGTCAAGTTCTGCACCAATGCATGCAAAACAGTGCAGTGTTTAATGTTGCATCTCTGGTGCTAACATATTTACGTAACCTGCAGTGAAGCCCGGTAAAGCACATAAGTGCTGTCTTTTAAGTCAAGACTAAGATATTGTAACCAACTTCTCATGAGAACAATCAATAGAGGTACTTTGGGATGGTTGCTGCATCACAGGAGTTAGCCCACATGAGAATGCCCAATGTACAGTGACGCAGATTGTTATAAAAAACAATCTACACAGTATTTTCTTTTGACAGTAAAGAATGTTCTTGTACTAGATCAATGTTTTTCAACCCATGAGCTGCCGCCCACTGGTGGGCTAAAAGAAAAGTCCCTGTGAGTAGCCTAAAAATTATACTTAATCATGTAATGAGGCAGGGTATGTGATTTTTCTCTCCCATTCTGTAGTATTAACACCTCCTGTTTAGATTAGAAACAAACAGAGAAATTGAATGGATGTTATTGAAGCGCTTTAGATTTCAGACACAGTGCTCCAGTCACATATATCAATTCTGTTAGTCCTTAACCAGCAGCAGCAGATGTCACTGTAAGTGAAAATTATAATATTATTACACCAGATTTAACAAACAAACTGCTATCTATATTGGTTTATTTTTTTTTTCACATTTGTTTCGCTGTCATGTGGGCCACAAAACAATATTATGTATTTTGGTGGGCTATGGGTGTAAACAGTTTGCGGAACACTGTACTGATGCAGGGCATGTCAAAGTGTTATCCATATCTTTTTTTCTTTTTTTGGGGGGTCAGCTTTCTTGAGTATATGTTTAAGATTTAGTAGGCATTTACTTGGGAATCTCACAACCCAATTTATGTGATTATCTGAAAAAGATGAAATCAAATGCTTTATTAAATGGGATAATTAGATCAGTTCTGTGAAAATCTTATGGACTTTCTCATTAGTCTCCCAAACCAGTCTTTCTTCATTAACACATCCCATCCATCAAAGTAAATATGACATTTCTGTCACTATCATAAAATGATGCTCTTTTATTGGAAAATTGCCTTATAAATAATTTAAACCTTCTTAGTGAAGGAAGAATCAATGCATTCTATCATTTAACATAGACACAGAAATGTTTATGTTTTATATTTAATTTCTTAACACAACTTCCAATTCCCTTTTTGTCATATCATTTCATTCACTATTTAATAAATTATAAAGAAAAAACTTGACAATGATGATAAAATAAAGGACCCAATTTTAGGCAGTTGAGAAATACTGAGTACTGCTAACACCATCTTTAAATATGTCAATTTGCTAATGATGAATGATGTCATCAATACTACATGAATGCCTTTACAAAAATGTACATTTTCTGTTTATGTCCTAATTAGTGTCAGTCTATGTGTCTGTGGCATATTTTTGTGTGGGTTTAATTAATAGAGCATAATACACTCCACTAGAAGCAAAATAATGATTTGTTACTTCATTGTAATTGCATAATATTTCAGTTGTTACTTCATTGTAATTGCATAATATTTCAGTACTTTTCTTTTATATAAAGCCCAGAATGTATTCTGTCTTATTGTTTTTTTTTTTTTTTGGAACATTTTTTCATTGTTATCTACTGCTACTTATTATTATATATAAAACACTGGACATATTAGTTCTTCCGAAATAATCAAATAATTTATGTTGTTGTCTTTCAATTTGTTTTTGTTTTTATTGAAGACAATCTACCTACTTTGTTCCGTCATGAGAAAGAGAAAAACTGGAGTATGTCATGCCAGTGTGAAAGTGTAGGTGATAAGAAGCATAGAGCAACCAAGACAACAGATGGCAGAGAGTAAACAAGACAGAAGTTGGCAGAAAGTGACCAAGACAGAAGTTGGCAGAAAGTGACCAAGACAGAAGTTGGCAGAAAGTGACCAAGACAGAAGTTGGCAGAAAGTGACCAAGACAGAAGATTTCAGAGAGTGATCAAGACAAAAGATGGCATAGAGCAACCAAGACAGAAGATGGCAGAGAGTGACCAAGACAAAAGATGGCATAGAGCAACCAAGACAGAAGATGGCAGAGAGTGACCAAGACAGAAGATGTCATAGAATGACCAAGACAAAAGATGGCAGAAAGTGACCATGACAGAAAATAGCAGAGAGTGACCAAGAGAGAAGATTTCAGAGAGTGACCAAGACAAAAAATGGCAGAGAGTGACCAAGAGAGAAGATTTCAGAGAGTGACCAAGACAAAAAATGGCAGAGAGTGACCAAGACAAAAGATGGCATAGAGCAACCAAGACAAAAGATGGCAGAGAGTGACCAAAACAAAAGATGGCAGAGAGTGACCAAGACAGAAGATGGCAGAAAATGACCAAGACAGAAAATGGTAGAGAGTGACCAAGACAGAAGATTTCAGAGAATGACCAAGACAGAAGATTTCAGAGAGTGACCAAGACAGAAGATTTCAGAGAGTGACCAAGACAGAAGATGGCAGAAAGTGACAGAGACAGAAGATTTCAGAGAGTGACCAAGACAGAAGATTTCAGAGAGTGACCAAGACAGAAGATGGCAGAAAGTGACAGAGACAGAAGATTTCAGAGAGTGACCAAGACAGAAGATGGCAGAAAGTGACAGAGACAGAAGATTTCAGAGAGTGACCAAGACAGAAGATTTCAGAGAGTGACCAAGACAGAAGATGGCAGAAAGTGACAGAGACAGAAGATTTCAGAGAGTGACCAAGACAGAAGATTTCAGAGAGTGACCAAGACAGAAGATGGCAGAAAGTGACAGAGACAGAAGATTTCAGAGAGTGACCAAGACAGAAGATTTCAGAGAGTGACCAAGACAGAAGATGGCAGAAAGTGACAGAGACAGAAGATTTCAGAGAGTGACCAAGACAGAAGATTTCAGAGAGTGACCAAGACAGAAGATGTCAGAGAGTGACCAAGACAGAAGATTTCAGAGAGTGACCAAGACAGAAGATTTCAGAGAGTGACCAAGACAGAAGATTTCAGAGAGTGATCAAGACAGAAGATTTCAGAGAGTGACCAAGACAGAAGATTTCAGAGAGTGACCAAGACAGAAGATTTCAGAGAGTGACCAAGACAGAAGATTTCAGAGAGTGACCAAGACAGAAGATTTCAGAGAGTGACCAAGACAAAAGATGTCAGAGAGTGACCAAGACAGAAGATTTCAGAGAGTGACCAAGACAGAAGATTTCAGAGAGTGACCAAGACAGAAGATTTCAGAGAGTGACCAAGACAGAAGATTTCAGAGAGTGACCAAGACAGAAGATTTCAGAGAGTGACCAAGACAAAAGATGTCAGAGAGTGACCAAGACAGAAGATTTCAGAGAGTGACCAAGACAGAAGATTTCAGAGAGTGACCAAGACAGAAGATGTCAGAGAGTGACCAAGACAGAAGATTTCAGAGAGTGACCAAGACAGAAGATTTCAGAGAGTGACCAAGACAGAAGATTTCAGAGAGTGACCAAGACAAAAGATGTCAGAGAGTGACCAAGACAGAAGATTTCAGGGAGTGACCAAGACAGAAGATGGCAGAAAGTGACAGAGACAGAAGATTTCAGAGAGTGATCAAGACAAAAGATGTCAGAGAGTGACCAAGACAGAAGATTTCAGGGAGTGACCAAGACAGAAGATTTCAGAGAGTGATCAAGACAGAAGATTTCAGAGAGTGATCAAGACAAAAGATGGTAGAAAGTGACCAAGACAGAAGATTTCAGAGTGTGACCAAGACAAAAGATGTCAGAGAGTGACCAAGACAAAAGATGGCATAGAGCAACCAAGACAGAAGATGGCAGAGAGTGACCATGACAGAAGATGGCAGAGAGTGACCATGACAAAAGATGGCAGAGAGTGACCAAGACAGAAGATGGCAAAGCGTGACCAAGACAGAAGATGCTGTAGTTTGACATGGTAAGGAGGAATAATGACAACAATAATTAAAAGTACATGAAAAAAAGGTTGTGGACAGACATGACTAACAAAGTCACACTGCATGGGCTATTTAGAAAATGTATGAAAAACAAATAACCTTTTGTTTTATGTAATTTTATAGCTGTACGTATAGTGCAAATATGTATTCATTGAAAAAATTGATAACATTGTTGCACCAAGTGAGGAATTGCTATATATGCTTTATAAAACAGCAGCTTTTGTAAGTAGCAATTGATGTGTGTTCATTTATATGTTTATAGATTAATTATATGTATATATATATATATATATACACACACACCAAATCTGACTTGGAATATATTTATCCCTGCTTT